AATAGTATTTTTATTTATTAATTCATTTTTAGTTTTATTATTATTATAAAGGCAATGTACAGAGGCATTATAGTTACACAGTAAATCTTTTGTTTTGTTTTATTTTGTTTTTTGGGTCCAGTCGTGGGGCCTGAACTCTGGGCCTGGGCGCTGTCCCTCAGCTCTTCAGCTCAAGGCTAGCGCTCTTGACCACTTGAGTGGTTTTTTCTTTTTGCTTATGTGGTGCTGAGGAACCGAACCCAGGGCCTCAGGCATGCAAGGCAAGCGCTCTACCACTGAGCCACCTTCCCAGCCCTTTTCTTTTCTTTTTGAGATAGTTTCACTAAGTACCTCAGGCTGGCCTCACGCTTTAGATCTTCCTGCTTCCGTCTCCTGAGAGCTGAGATTACAGGCATGCGCTACCCTGTCCAGCTCATGTTCTGCACCATATTATACATTGTGATTGAAGGCCTTATCGGTTCACACCAATATTTACAAGGTCAGTTTGCACTAACTGCTTTATGTCCCCATCACTGACCACTTTTCCCTGCTCATTTGCACAACTAGCACATCTTACTGCATGTCATACATTGTTGATGCTTTATAGACATTCTGAGTTGAGTTATCTTTCTCAGGCCTTAGGGAAAACCATGTTTCATGCCCATATCAAGACTTAGTACTAGGGCTTGAACTAAGGGCCTAGCATTCTCTTTTAGCTTTTTCACTCAAGGCTGGCACTCTACCATGTGAGCCACCCTTCCACTTCCAGCTTTTTGCTGATTCATTGGAGATAAGAGTCTCACGGATTTTCCTGTCTAAGCTGGAGCCTCAGATCTCAGTCTCCTGGGTAGCTCAGATAATAGGTGTGGGCCATCAGCATCCAGGGGTCCTCAAAGCTTTTGAATCTCAAAATGAATAACAGAATTAGAACATGTCTCTCTCACCCCAGCAGCTTTGCCTGACTTATGAATGAGTGAGCAGGAAAACATCTACTTACTTGGGCTTTACATCTTTGGGGGGAGGGGCCCTGGGGCTTGAACTCTGGGCCTGGACTCTGTCCCTTTGCTCAAGACTTGAGCCACAGCACCACTTCCGGCTTTTTCACGTAGTTTATTGGAGATAAGAGTCTCACGGAGTTTCCTGCCTGGGCTGGCTTTGAACCACGATCCTCAGAGCTCAGTCTCCTGAGTAGCTAGAATGACTGGCACAAACCACTGGTGCCCGGCTTAGGCTTTATATCTTTTAGTTCAAAACTTCTTACCGTGTCCCTGGCTGCTCCCGTCTGGGCCGGGTCTGGTCTCCAGCTGTCTGGCTTGAATTCCAGTGGGACTCCCTGGGGCTTCTCCAGATCGATTACAAGCCATCAATAATGCATCCTTCAGAGTGGCCCAAGAAGCCATTAGCTGGGCCTGCAGCCCAGACGCGTGGCCTTGGAGAAAGAGGGCTGGGTATGCCCAAGAGAGGCTTCCATCAGCCTGGGGTGTGGGGCAGTGTGGGGGGATCTCAAGCTGTGGGTGGAGTTAGACTCAGTCAGAAACTACAGGCTAACTTGGTTTCACCTAGTCCTTTACTCTGTGGGGTATCTTGTCCCCCCCCCCCCCCCCCCGCCCGCCAGGCCTTCTTGCAGATTCTGTGCTCTTGGTGTGTGGAGAGCCTTGCTGGCTTGTGAGGATGCATTTTGGGCCTGGCCCTCAACCTGTGTGGTATTTCCTTGGTAGTCTGGAATCAGCCTTGATAAGGCTGGTGTGCTGCAAAGAGCAGCCTACACTTGGAGACAGGCCTTGTTTTACTGGTTCACCACTAGGGGGCGGAAGAGGAGACAGAACGTGTGTGTGTGTGTGTGTGTGTGTGTGTGTGTGTGTGTGTGTGTGTGTGTGTGTGTGTGTGTGTGTGTGTGTGTGTGTGTGTGTGTGTGTGTGTACACATGTGCTCTGGGACTGGGACCTGAACTCAGGGCCTTGTGCTCTTGCTTAGCGTATTAGCCCAAGGCTGGTGCTCCACCATTTGAATCACACATCTAGCTTTTTGCTGGGACATTGAAGGTAAGAATCTCATGGATGGGTCTTTCTGGGGATGTCTTTGAACTGGGATATTCAGATCTTAGCCTCCTGAGCAGCTAGGATTACAGGCGTGAGCCACAGTAAAGAGCCATGTATATTTTTGTGATCCTCCCCTCCACCCCCACGGCCACTAAAGCAATAGAAAAGGAAGAAAAACAAATGCTCCGAATTTAGTGACCGTGTTAAGTCCTGTAGGCCAGGAGGGACCCAGGAACATGGAAAAATAGGAAAATGGCACTGGATTGAGTGGGATCAGAGTTTTGTTTTCTATGCTGTTTTTGGTCGGTCGTGGGGCTTGAACTCAGGGCCTGGGTGCTGTCCCTCAAGCTCTTCAGGTCAAGGCTGCACTGAGCCACAGCTCCACTTCACTTTTCTAGTGGTTCTTTGACGATAAGAGTCTCACAGCCTTTCCTGCCTGGGCTGGCTTCAAACTGCGATCCTCAAATCTCAGCCTCCTGAGTAGCTAGGATGACAGGCAAGGATCAGAGTTTTTAATGAAAGAACCTGAAGAGAAGGACAGAAAGGTGATTCTTTCCACAAAACCACCAGGAATCTGGAAGAAGGCATGTGGCACCAGACCGCTGTTGTAGCAAGGAAGTAGAGAGGTGTGTAAAATAGTATTTGAAATCCCTAGGCCCATTTCCAAGTTTGCACAACCTGGGAACCACACCCCAGCCTTCAAGGTTTGTCTTCTGGAGAAATGGGACCAGAGGCACCGGGTAGGGCCAAGGGCCAAAAGAAAAGCACAAGATTGAAACAATCAAGGATTAGCCAGGTGCCAGTGATTCACGCCTGTAATCCTAGCTACTCAGGAGGCTAGGATCTGAGGACTGCGGTTCAAAGCTGGCTCCTGCGGGAAAGCCCTTGAGACTCTGATCTCCAATTAACCACCAGAAAGCCAGAAATGCTCAAGTGGTAGAGCGCTAGCCTTGAGCCCAAAGAGCTCAGGGACAGGCACTCAGGCCTTGAGTTCAAGTCCCAGGACCAGCACAAATATAAGAAATAAACCCAAGGAGTTGAGGCTTTCTCCAGAGTGTGAAATCGGCGTATGGAGAGAAGAGCTGTGATTTAGGTCTGCTGCGATCCTGTGACTCCTGTTGGAGAACTGTGATAGAGAAATACAAATGGCCAGGGTTGGAAATGTGGCTTTGTGGTAGAGTGCTTGCCTAGCGTGCATGAAGCCCTGGCTTCAAGACCTCAGTACCACATACACAGAAAAAGCCAGAAGGGGTGAGGCTATGGTTCAAATGGTAGAGTGCTAACTTTGAGTAAAAGAAGCTCAGGGACAGGTCCCAGGCCCTGAGTTCAAGCCCCAGGATAGAAAGAAAGAGAGAGAGAGAAAGAGAGGGGAGGGAGAGAGGAAGGAAGGAAGGAAGGAAGGGAGGGAGGGAGGAAGGAAGGAAGGAAGGAAGGAAGGAAGGAAAACAAACACAGAACGAATCTGGTGAGAGCCGGCAGGGGAACTGGAGAGCCGTGGGCAGCCTGGGCTGGCACTGATGGAGCTGGATGCAGGGGGAGGAGAGCTTGGATGTCGGGGAGAGAGGAAGAGAGGGCAGCAATGACATTAGATCCAGCCAACTCTAGATGGAAGCTCTGGAGGCGTGCATGTGGGGACGCTGGTGCTGTGCTGCTTTGATCACGTTAGATGTGCAAATCCAGTGAGCCAGCCTCTGGTGCTGCTGTCTGCAGGGCTCAGGTGCTGGCCACATTCTGGGGGAGGGGGAAGAGGGAGGCTGGGGAGCTTCTGCCTGCCTCTCCTGTTCTCCCCGGTGCAGAAGCGATACGGTGTGCAATGCGCACTTTGAACAGGAGGTGGCAGTAAAGGCCCTGTGTCTCACACGGCACATGCCAGTGCTGCAGTGTTGCACGCCAAGTGGGCCTCTAAACCGGGATGCCCAGGTGGGGTCTGGAGTGTGAACAGCCATCCCACAAACCCAAGAGCTATTTGGAAAGCCTTAGAAGCAAAAGCAATAAAGCTCGACCCAATAATAATTATTATTATAAATCAAAATAAGAACATGCTCCATTGTTACCAGGTGAGAACTCTATTTTACTAGGTAAGGAAGGCCAGGAAGGTGAAGGGATTTACCCAAAGCTGGGTAACTCAGGGCCTGCGCCTTAGCTTTATGCACTCAAGGTGAGCAAGCGCTCTACCACTTTGAACCACAGCACGACTTCTGGTTTTCTGGTGGCTCATTGGAGAGGAATCTCACGGACTTTCTTACTCGGGCTGACTTCGAACTGCAATCCTCAGATCTCAGCCTCCTGAGTAGTTAGGATGACAGGCGTGAGCCACCAGTACCCAGCTCACTTCTAGCTCTTTCTTTTCCTTTTCTTTTGCCAGTCATGGGGCTTGAACTCAGGGCCTGAGCACTGTCCCTGAGCTTCGTTAGCTCAAGGCTAGTGCTCTACCACTTGAGCCACAGCACCACTTCTGGCTTTTTTCTGGGTATGTGGTGCTGAGGAATCGAACCCAGGGCCTCACGCATGCCAGGCAAGCACTCTACCACTGAGCCACCTTCCCAGCCTGTCACTCCCAGCTTTTGGATGGATAGTTGGAGATACAGTTTCCTGCCTGAGCTGACTTTGAACTGTGATCTTCAGATCTGGGCCTCCCCAGAAGCTGGGATGACAGGCACAAGCTGCCAGCGGAGCACCCAGCTTGGGGAGCTCTCAGCCTCCCCCCCCCCTCCCCTGTCTGCCCCCCAGTAGCTGAGGTTAGGCTGTGGGTCACGCCACGCCCCCAGAGCATAAGCCACGCCCATACAGCCCCGCCCAAGCACATTGGCCACGCCCCCAGGTATATTGCCCACACACCCTCCAGCATCCAAGTCCCGTTCCCCCCCATACATCGGCCCCGCCCCAAAGCAAACCACGCCCCTCACTAGGTACATCCGCCACGCCCCCAGCACGTTGGCCACGCCCCTAAGCCGACCATGTCCCGCCCTCTGCCTCTCGCAGTTCGAGATCCGGCAGCTGCGCGCGCACCTGGCGCAGCAGGACCTGGACCTGGCGGCCGAGCGGGAGGCGGCGCTGCGGGCCCCGCACGTGCTCAGCCAGCCGCGAGGCCGCTACCAGGTGGTGGAGGCGGGCGCGTGGGGCGAGGACACGGCGGCCGAGAGCGTCGTGGAGGAGCTGCGGCCGGCGCAAGGTGAGCCCGCGGGGGCCCGGGACCCCCAGATCAGGGAGGCCGAAGCAGGAGGATCGCGGTTCAGAGCCAGCCCAGGCGGCCCGCGCCGTGAACCACCAGCCAGCAGGACTGGAGCGAGGCGCAGGGGCCGGCGCAGCGGCGGCGCGCGCTGAGGACGAGGCACCAGCCGGGCCCGCGGGGGGCGGGCGCTCGCCGCCTGAGCCGCGGCCCAGCACTTGTTTTGCTTTCGTTGCTTTTAACCGTAAGGGCTCCGGATTGTCGCCCAAGCCGCTTGGGGCCTTGATCTCGCAAGTGGCTGGAGTTGCAGGTTGGAGCCAGCACACCCAGCCTGACCTTTCTGTTTCGTGGTCGGTCGTGGGCTTGAACTCTGGGCCTGGCGCTGTCCTCAGCTCTGCAGCTCCCACTTGAGCCACAGCGCCACTTCCGGTGTCCTGGTGGTCACTGGAGATGAGTTTGGCCGACTTTGCTGCCTGGGCTGGCGTGGAACCGCGATCCTCAGAGCTCAGCCTCCTGAGCAGCTGGGATGACAGGCGGGAGCCGCCCGCGTCCACCCAGCTGGGCTTCTTATGAAGAAGCAGGAAAGGCATCAAAGGCACATCATGAATAAGCAATAGAAGGTCTAGAACGTTCCTCCTGGAGAGCCACCTACCAGATCCAAATAGGAAGGTCAGGAGTTGGGAAGAGGAGGCAGAGCAGTCCAGAAACCTCAGCTTTCCAGAGGGAAGCAAATGGATGGCTGTGGTACACAGTGGAGATGAGAAGAGGCCAGGGCCTCCAGCCCAGGCCAGGGGAGGGGGGGACTGTGTAGATGGGAATGTTTTCTAGCCCCAAATCTCAGTTCCTCAGTCTGCCAGCTATGTTACTCCGGAGGGACTTTTGCTTTTCTGGGCATCCGTTTTGCCAGCTTTCAAATGGGAACAATTGCTGGGCCTTTGTCACAAAGCAGTTAAGAGCTCTTCACAGGGTCACGCAGCCAGGGTGCCAGGGTGCTGTGCCAGGAGCTCAATCCTAGGGTGGCTTCACCAGACCCAGTGTTCCTCTAGCTGGGACAGCGGGATCAGAGGCGGCCCCGGTGGGCAGAGGGGATGGCTGCCGTTCTCCGCCCAAGACCTGAAATAGCATTTCTTCTAGGAGTGGATTTAACCCCCCCACCCCCACCCCCGGCTCTCAGGATATGGGAAGAGCCATGAGAGGGGTGGAAAGGACCGAAGGCCATGTGTTAGACGTCTACTGAGGTTGATCAGCAAGGAAGGAAGATTTGTTTGGAATCATGGGGCCTCAGAGGGGCAATTTGTGGCTTCTTGGTCCTGTGTCTCGGGAGACCAGGGAATTGTGTAGTAGATCGAAGACTTACCTCACTATGCTCCAAACCCAGGGAGAGAGGAAAGGGAAGACAGACGGACAGACAGGCCAGGAACAAAATATCTCCTTCAAGGCTCGGCATTAGGGGCTCACACCTGCTATCCTAGCTACTCAAGGAGGCTGAGGTCTGAGGATCAACATTTGAGTCCAACCAGGGAAGAAAAGTCTGTGACTTTTTTTTTTTTTTTTGCCAGTCCTGGGGCTTGAATTCAGGGCCTGGGCACTGTCCCTGAGCTGCTTTTGCTCAAGGCTAGTGCTCTACCACTTGAGCCACAGCACCACTTCTGGCTTTTTCTTTTCTTTTTTTTTCTTTTTTTTGGGGGGGGAGTCCATCGTGGGGCCTGAACTCTGGGCCTGGGCGCTGTCCCTCAGCTCTTCAGCTCAAGGCTAGCACCACTTCCAGCTTTTTTACTTTTTGCTTATGTGGTGCTGGGGAATCGAACCCAGGGCCTCATGCATGCAAGGCAAGCGCTCTACCACTGAGCCACCTTCCCAGCCCTACTTCTGGCTTTTTCTGTGTATGTGGTACTGAGGAATCAAACCCAGGGCTTCACTCTACCAGGGCAAACACTTTACCTCTAAGCCCCATTCCCAGCCTCTGTGAGATGCTTATCTCCAATGAACCAGCAAAACCCTGGAAATGGAGGTGTGGCTCAAGTGGTAGAGCACCCACCTTAAGCAAAAAGAAGCAAAAGCTAAGTGGAAGTTCAAGGCCCTGAGTTCAAGCCCCACTACCAGCACACACACACACACACACACACACACACACATGCGCACATACACACTCCTCTCCTTAGCACTCATCCCTGGCTGTATTCCTGGATGCCAGCTTTGCCCCTGTAGGTGCCTTCTACAGCCTTCCTTCCCCCATTACACAGTGACTTTCCAGAATCATCCATGTCCCCTCCTGATTTAACTTGCACTGGTTCTGTGGCCCTTAGGGAAAGGTCTAAAGTGTCTGAGTACTGGCTTGCCACAGACAGAGCTGCTCAAATTGCCTTGAAGTCTGGGCTGGTGGTGGCAGGCCAGGCTTCTGGGCCATGAGCCTCTGTTCCGGGCATGTCCCCGGGCGCCCGGCGGCTGGCATCCTCGGCCTCCCTTGGCGTCTCTTTGCTGGTAGACACATCCCCGGCTCTGCCTTCATCTTCCCATGGCATCTCCCCGTGTACGTGTGTGTGAATTGGTGTGCAAATCCCCCCTCTTTTTATGAGGGTTTCAGTCATGGGGGTTTGGCATCTGCCCCACTGGTAAGTGTGGCCTGACCTTGAGTAGGATGGCGTTCTGCGACTGGGGATTAAGATCCTGGCGTGATAAATCTGGGAGGGACGCAGTGATTCAGCCCTAGCGGGTGACGCATGCGACCCCCAGCTGCCTCCCACCCCGGCCTCACCCTGCCTTGGCTTTCCACCTGCGTGGAACAGCACGGCCCTTAGCTCTGAGTCTTCTGCAGCCCGTTCCGTGGCTGCCTGGCCTGCCTGCCTGCCTGCCAAACTCGCTCTCACTTCTGGGAGCCAGCCCAGTGCGCGTTGAAGCGGCTTCCAGCCAGGCCAGGCTAGCTTGGGACCACGCAGCCTCGCTTCCACAGTCCACTGCCTGGAACAGCGTCTGCAAGACTAACGATCAAAGATCAAAGCGAAGCTCTCGGTCTCCGCCCTGCGCCCTGGGCATGGAGGCCAGGAGTCTCGGATTGCTCCAGCTCCCAGGGTGGGTGTACATGTACGAGCTGGTCCTAGGGCTTGAACCTAGGGCCTGGGCACTGTCCCTCAGCTGCTTTTTGCTCAAGGTGAGCGCTCTGCCGCTGGAGCCCCAGCGCCACTTCTGGCTTTTTGGCTGGCTTTGAACTGTGATCCTAGGATCTCAGTCTCCTGAGCAGCTAGGATGACAGGTTTGAGCGCTGGCACCCAGCTTTTGCTGTCTTTGGGAAGTGCTAGTTTTGCTCCCTGAGTTCCTCTTCCCAAGGCCGGCGGGAACTGGGTTCCAGTCCTGAGCACGCTGAGATCTTGCGATGCCAGAGCAGAGCGTGAGCAAGGCACAGCTGGCACTGCCCTAGGGCCAAGCCCTCCCCACCCGGCCAGCCCGAAGCCCTCCCCACCCGGCCAGCCCGAAGCCCTCCCCACCCGGCCAGCCCGAAGCCCTCCCCACCCGGCCAGCCCGAAGCCCTCCCCACCCGGCCAGCCCGAAGAATGCCCGGATGCCTGCCTGCCTGCCTGCCTCCCTCCCTCCCTCCCTCCCTCCCTCCCTTCCTTCCTTTCTTCCTTCCTTCCTTCCTTCTTCCTCCCTCTCTCCCTCCCTCCCTTCCTTCTTCCTCCTCCTGAAGACTGCCCAGCTTGCTTGCTTGCTTGTTTACTCCTCCTCCTCCTCTTCCTCTTCTTCCTCCTCCTCCTCCTCTTCCTGCAGCAGATAATTAGGAGGGGGGGGTTAGTCAGTGACCCCCCCCAGAGCCCAGCCCCAGAGACTGGGTTTAGCTCCAGAGGGAGTCAACAACTGAGTTTGGAGAAGGGGAAGAAGAGCAGGAGGAGGAAGAGGAAGAAGCAAGCAAGCTGGGCAGTCTTCAGAAGGGAGGAAGGAAGGAAGGGAGGGAGGAAGGGAGGAAGGAAGGGAGGAACTGGACCTAAGTTGGAGGCCGCAGGTGGCTTGGCTGCGTGTCAGCCAGGCTTCCCAAGGTCTGTGCTGGGCCTCTGCACCCTTCTAGAAGGCACAGGAGAGGGGCTCCTCCTTTCGAGGTACCCAGCATACACCTCGGGCACAGCTGTCAGTGTCCCTCCCCGAAACCCCTCCCCTCCTCCACACCACCTGCTGTGTGGGATCCCTGGGGACCCCACACCAGGGATGCACCCCCAACCCCATGCCCTGGGCCCCCACCCCCTGCATAACCCACCCCGAGGCCCAGGGCAGGGCTCAGGGGTGATGGACGGCCCCACGCCGGCCCCCCAGTGCGGCGTCCGGGGAGGGATGGCGGTGACAGGAGGAATTCTGGGGGGACCAGTGCAGGGGCGCTGCAGGCCACTGCAGAGAGGAAGGAAAAAGGCCGCATTTGTTGCTGGCCATGACCCTCAGGTCAGCTGAGCTCTGGAACCTTCCAAGAGACAGTCAGGCCTGTAGACAGAGCAGTGAGTTATAGCAGTGGAGGAGGACAGGGGTGCGGGGAGGGGGGCCCCGGCCACCCCAGCCCCTGCCCGGAGCCGCCAGCCATCAGACACCCCGACCCGCTTCTGTTTAGACTCGCTCGAGCACAAATCATCTTTAGAAGCTGGGCTGAGTCCACAGTGCGTCTGCGCGGTCATGAATACGTCACCCCCAAATTTATTGCTCTCAGGACCTGTCAGTTACAGCCCCTAGCCCCCAGGGACACGAATTGCGCCCTCAGAGCCAGCCTCCGTGTCCCCTCCTGCCTCACCAGGGCCCAGAGAAACCGCCACACAGGTGGCTCCAGCCGGAGCACCCCAAATCTACCCAGCAAGGGGCAGGGGGCTCCCCTGGCCCTGCGCCCCTGGAGGCAGGTGCCTCATCGGCCCCCAAGATTGCAAGGTGCGAGAGGCCGCTGGTCAGACTCAGAGGAAATCTCAACACCAGCTGGCAGCAGGGCCGCACATGCACGGACCGTCCAGGGTGGGGCTGGCCGTCGTCCAGGGCCTGTGGGGAGAGGCCATGGTGCTCAGGAACAGCTAGGCCCAAGTACTTGACAAAGTTGATTTTTTTTTTTTTTTTGGTTGGTTGTGGGACTTGAACTCAGGGCCTGGGCGCTGTCCCTCAGCTCTTCAGCTCAAGGCTAGCGCTCTACCACTTGAGCCACAGCGCCACTTCCAGTTTTCTGGTGGTTCATCAGAGATAAGAGTCTTATGGACTTTGCTGCGCAGGCTGGCTTCGAACCTCAATTTTCAGATCTCAGCCTCCTGAGTAGCTGGGATGGCAGGCGTGAGCTATGGGAGCCTGGCTCTTTTCAGCTTTTTAACTATGTAGTTGGAGAGTCTCACGGTTGTCTGCCCAGGCTGGCTTTGAACCTCGATCCTGGGATCTCCGGCTTCCCGGGGTGGCAGACAAGGCTGTGGAGGACATTGACACATATTCGAATTGTGGGTCATCGTTGTGGAGTGTGCTGGTAGCTGATGCTGGGGCAGGGCCCCGTCAGCGGGGCCCCTCCCTTAGTTCCGGCCTTCCTGCAAACCACACCTCTGACCGCAGGCATTTACAGATTGAAAAAAAAAAAAAAATGTCCAAAAAAGCTTTCAAGAGCCAGGCTTCTGCACGCAGCCGCTTAGTCTCCCCACGTGATGGCAGAGTGCCCGCTGGGGAACAGCTATCTTAGGTGTGTTTGGCCTCAGAAATCAAGGCCCAGGACCAGTGGCTCACGCCTGTCATCCCAGCCACTCAGGAGGCTGAGAGCTGAGGATCAAGGTTCAAAGCCAGCTCACACATGAAATTGGATGAGACTCTTATTGCTAGTTAACCAGTTTAAAAAAAAAAAAGAAGTAGAGCCGTGGCTTTCTAGCCTTGAGAGAAAAGAGTTAAGCAAGGTTCTGAGTTCAAATCCTGGTACCAGCACAAGAGGAAAAAAAAAAGAAGCAGCTAAATGCCTTATACTAGGACATCTAAGAATTGGCCAGGCCCCGCTCAACACAGGCGCAAAGGGAAGAAAGAATAACTTACTTCAGAGCCGTCCCCGTGAGCAGAGGCTATGTTCAGGGCATCCTGCTGGCACTGCACTACCTAGGAACTTGTTTGATCATTTTGCTGGTCCAGGACCTGGGTGCTGTCCCTGAACTTCTATTGCTCAAGGCTGGCGCTCTACCGCTTTGAGTCACAGCACCACTTCTGGCTTTTTCTGAGTAGTTAATTGGCGATAAGAGTCTCCTTGCCTCTTCTACCCAGGCTGGCCTTGAACCAGGATCCTCAGATCTCAATCTCCTGAGTAGCTAGGATGACAGACATAGAGCCACCAGCCACCAGCCTTTTCTTCTTTCTTTTTTGTTTGTTTTTATTGTGCCGGTCCTGGGGCTTGAACTCAGGCCCTGGGCACAGTCCCTGAGCTTTGGTGTTCAGTGCCTGTACTCTTAACACTTGAGGCCCAGCTCCACTTCCAGCTTTTTGGTGATTTTACTTGGAGATAAGAGTCTTCAGCATTATTCTGCCCTGAGTGGCCTCAAATCATGATCCTCAGCTCTCAGCCTCGTACGTAGCTAGGATGCTAGGCGTGAGCTACCAGTGCCAGCTCGTCAGGACAGGAGTTTTGAACTTGCCACAGTGCCTGTCTCTCCCTCCCTTCCTCCCTCCCTCCCTCTCTCCCTTCTCCTCTCCTCCCTTCCCTCCCCTCCCCCCACCACCCTTCTCTGTCTCCACTTCCACAGATGCTGTCGCAGACGACGACATGAACAGCTACATCAGTCAGTACTACAACGGCCCCAGCAGTGGTAAGTCCCAGGTGGGGGCTGCTGCGGGCGAACCAGGACTCAAAGGCCACCGCAGCCACCCTGACATCCAAGGATAAGCACAGTCGGCCAGGCCTTGCCTGACTGGTGCCTGCAGACCACAGCCACCCGACACAGAGCAGAAATTGGCTCAGAGCTGGTGCTGGGGTGTCCCAGGGCTGAGCTGGCGGGACCCGGTGGGGTGCTCTGCCATTACCCATTAATGAGAGCTGTATGTAAACCCTGACATGGAACAGGGCGTGTCACCCAGAATGTGTGTGACATCTCTCCCTAACCCGAGCGCCTCAGGTAAGCCGGGGAAGGGGGCACTCACTGAACCCCTGCAGACAGAGGCACGGGCCCTGGGAGAAGGACCCCGGAGAAGGCCAGCGCTTCATGATTGGTTTGTTGTGCCAATGCTAGGGCTTGAACTCTGGACCTCTCTATACCTCAGGCTTGACTTTTAACACTCCACACTAGCTCTCTACCACTTAAGCCACAGCTCTACTGCAGGCTTATTGCTGGTTCATTGGAGATAAGAGTCTCGTGGACTTTCTTGCCCAGGCTGGCCTCAAACTGCGATCCTCAGATCTCAGCCTCCTGAGTAGGATTACGGTGTGAGCCACCCTCACCCAGCTATCTCCAGCTCTTTGCTATTTAATTGGAGATAAGAGTGGCACAGATTTGTCTGCCCAGGCTGGCTTTGAACCTGGATCCTCAGGTCTCAGCCTCCTGAGTAGCTGGAATGACAGGCAGGAGCCACTGTGCCTTACCTTAGTGGGAGACAGCCGTTTTAAAGACTGTCTTGTTCTTCAGGGCTTGGTTCTCTGCAACCCAGGCCCAGAGGCTAAATTCCACAGGAAAGGGAAAATCTTACTTGGGGCCATGCGTCATTAATTTGGGTTCCCTCTCCCCCGCCCCTTTTAGTCTGCTAAGGCTCCGTCCGTCTGCTTGCTCTGAGCAACACTCAGTCCGCTGGATTCACAGTCCCCTCCCTTCCGCCCGAATCTCCCTGTCCACGTTGCCAGTCCACAACTTTGGAGGGACAAACATCCTATGCAAATGCACCCGCTGTTACCCACCCCTGATGCCCCCCTTAAGGGGCACATAATTAACCATCAAAGCCCAGCTCGGGTAGCCCCAGCCCCCACAGGCCCACAAAGAACAAGTCAGGCCTCCACAGACAGGGACCGGGTCCCTGGTCCCAGCTGCCTGTGTTTTCTGAGTCCAGATAGGCCCAGGGTCCTAAATGCTGCTTTTCAGTGGCTTAAAGTAATACCAATCCGCCGGGCGCTGGTGGCTCACGCCTGTAATCCTAGCTACTCAGGAGGCTGAGATCTGAGGATCGAGGTTCAAAGCCAGCCCGGGCAGGAGAGACCGTGAGACTCCTATCTCCAATAAACCACTAGAAAACCGGAAGTGGCGCTGTAGCTCAAGTGGTAGAGCGCTCGCCTTGAGCTGAAGAGCTGAGGAACAGCGCCCAGGCCCAGAGTTCAAGCCCCACAACCGACAAAAAAAAAAAGTAATACCGATCCATTGCGGGTGGTTTGGGATCCCGGCCCCAGATTGGCTACATTGAGGGTCCAGCAGCTAACAGCAGCCCACTGGAACACACCCTCGGCCCTGACAAAACACAGACTAGGGCCTAAAGCCTCTGCCACCAGAAGCATGAGCCACCAAACAGTGTTCAATGTCCACACCTTAGATCAGAAGTTGGGCACTGGTAGCACACCCCTGTCACCCCAGCTACTCAAGAGGCTGAGATCTGAGGATCATGATTGAAAGCCAGCCCCGGGCAGGAAAGTCCCAGAGACTCTTATTTCCACTTAACCACCAAAAAGCTGGAAGTGGAGCTGTTGTTCTAGTGGTGCAGTGTTAGCCTTGAGCAGAAAAGCTCAAGGACAGAGCTGAGGTCCTGAGTCCAGCCCCAGAACACTCATATACACACACTCTCTCTCTCTCTTACACACACACACACACACACACACACACACACACACACGGAGCACAGAGATCTCCCTTGGCTCCAGGATGGGTAGTGAACCACAACTTGCCCCTGTCTGTAGCACATGCCTGTAGTCCAGGCCTGCTGTCCACATCTGCCCACATGTGACCACAGGGTCCCCCTTTCTTGCAGACAGCGGGGTTCCAGAGCCAGCAGCGTGTGTGCTCACCACGGCCGCCATCGACGTCCACCAGCCAAACATCTCTTCAGACCTCTTCTCGGTGGACGTGCCCCTGAAGCCGGGTGACCACGGTACCTGCGCCAGCATCATCTCGGACAGCAGTGCCCCCTCATCCCATAGCTCTGTCCCCCGGGCCCAAAGCGACAGCAGCCAGCCCCGCGGCTCCTCCACGGACTGCAGCACCGGGAAGGAGGAGCTGCTGTCGGAGCTGGGCCCGTGTCCCCAGACACGGCCGCCGCCCTCCCGCCAGATGGCTGAGGCCACAGTCCAGGACCTGCTGTCCACCCTGACCAGGGACCTCTGCCCAGCCCAGAGGCCCTCGGACCCAGCCCCAGCTGCCCGGCCCAGCCCGGAGCTGGCCCAGCGAGTAAGTCTGTACAACCAGAAGAACCAAGATGACAAGCTGGCTGTCCACCCGCTCCAGCCGGCCATCCACCTGCTGCCCACTGCGCCTGCGCTGGAGGACAAGCTCAGAGCGCTGGAATGCACAGAGCCAAAGCTCAGGATCCCCGAGGGCTAGAGCCTGGGGGGGGGGGGGGAGCTCCAGGGGCGGAACAAGGGGAGACAGCCGTCTCCAAGCTCTCTGGGGACCCCGGAGGCTTCCCCGAGGGCCACGGGTGGGGCCCCCGATTCCGCCTGGCCTTCCTCAGGGTGCTGCCAGCCTCCGGGGAGGCTGGCCTCCTCTTCTCGTCCCATTCAGGGGAAAGGGGGGTGGTGCTCACGGCTGGGTGGTGGTTTTCTTTTCTTGGGGGGGGGGTGTTTTTTTTTGGGGGGGTGGTTTTGGGTGGTTTATTTGTGTTTTCGTTTTTAACGTTTTTATAAACGCCAGCCTGGGGCCCCGCTTCAGCAGGGTCGAGGATGGAAGGCCAGCCTGGGCTCTTCTGTTGCCTTCACGCCTGAGGGCACCCGGGACCCCGGGTCCCAGCACTCACTGTGAGTTGGGGGCTTCCCCAGCCCCCCTCCGCCCCCCTCCCCCCCCCCCCCCCCCCGTCCTGGCAGGCTCACACCGCCTGCCACCCGCACCCCCCCCCCCCCCCCCCCCCCCCCCCCCCCGCGCCTGTCCTCACTCTGGTCATTTCAGCATGAGGCTTCTCAAAACCAAGCTGGTTTTCACATCACGTGACACGGAGGGTGGGCCAGGTGTGGGGGGGGGGGAGGGGAGACCTGGGGGAAAAACAGCCATTTTCCCACCTCGGCTTTCATAATAAAATCAGCCGCACTGAAACGTCCATCGGCCCGGGTTTTCCTTTGGTCGGCAGCCTGGGCAAAGAGTGGGAACTTTGTCACCTGCCAAGGAAGGACTGGTTATTTCAGGAGACAGTGGTCAACACAGGCTGGGCGCTGGTGGTCAGGCCTGTCACCCCAGCTCCTCAGGAGGCCGAGATCAGAGGATCGCAGTTTGGAGCCAGCCCTGGTAGACAAACCTGAGAGACTATTAGCTCCAATTAACCAGCAAAAAGCCAGAACTGGAGGTGTGGCTCAAGTGGTAAGGCACTAGCCTTAAGAGAAAAAGAAAAAGGCAAGAATGCAAGCCCATGGGCTGGGAAGGTGGCTTACTGACAGAGTGTTTGCCTAGCATGCATGAAGCCCTGGGTTCCATTCCTCAGTACCACATACACAGAAAAAGCCAGAAGTGCCACTGTGGCTCAAGTGGTAGAGCGCTAGCCTTGAGCACAGAGAGGCTCAGGGACAGTGCCCAACACTGCGTTCAAGCCTCAAGATTGGCAAAAAAAAAAAAAAAAAAAAGCAAGGCCTTTAGTTCAAACCTAATACCAGCACCACATACAGACATGCATACTTTTTTTTTGGTCAGCCTACATGCTGTCCCTCAGCTCTTCAGCTCAAGGCGAGTGCTCTATCGATTGAGCCACAGCGCCACTTCTGGTTTTCCGTGGTTTATTGAAGATAAGAGTCTCACAGACTTTCCTGCCCAGGCTGACTGAACCATGATCCTCAGATCTCAGCCTCCTGGGTAGCTAGGATGACAGGCGTGAGCCACCAACCCCTGGCTCATACATATATGTGTGTGTATGTATGTGTGTGTATATATATATGGTTTTCAATATAATATATAAATATATATCATGTAAAAAAATTTTGTCAGTTGTGGGGCTTGAACTCTGGTCCTGGGCACTGTCCCTCAGCTCTTCAGCTCAAGGCTAGCGCTCTACCACTTGAGCCACAGCGCCACTTCTGGTTTTGTGATAAGAGTCTCACTGACTTTCCTGCCCAGGCTGGCTTTGAATCGTGATCCTCAGATCTCAGCCTCCTGAGTAGCTAGGATGACAGGCGTGAGCCACCGGCGCCTGGCTATGTCATGTAAATATTAACCAATGCATGGCTCAAGTGGTAGAGCACCCAAGCATGAGGTCTTAAGTTCAGTCCCAGTACCACACATGCATGTGTGCGCATGCTCACACATACCAAGGTAGACAGCCACAAGCATTCTGCTTTATAAAAGCAGTTGCTTCAGAACGGATCCTGGAGCAGGCAGCCACCCATGATCTCCAAGACAGAGTAGGAGCTGACCCATCAGAAGCAGGCAGTGTGGGGGCGAGGGGTGGGATGAGAGGTGGGCTGGGGGCGTGGCTGCTGGGGCCCAGGGCGAGGCTGCTGGTATTGGAAGAAGAAGGCGTGGGCATAGCAGCGTCCAGGGGCAAGGGGGCCGGCGTGAGGCCAGGCCTCCATCAGGAGCCGGTCCTGCAGGCCTAGTGGGCAGAAGATGGAGGAGAGAGCTTTGGTTTTGATGGCTCCCCGGAGCGCCACGGCCTGCAGTTCTGGCTGTCAGGCAGCTGGAGTTGGGTAGAGATGGAGCCGAGCCCTCCTGGGAGATTTGTTACTCTGGGAAAAACAGCTCCCTGCCTGTCACCCACTATCCAAAGAGCCCACTTTAGGGGCTCAGAAGAGCCATCAGGGCTGCATCCAAAGGGAGGGCCTGGAGCCCAGGCTGTGCTGCCGGGACCCACATGGTCACAGGTTTATACACGGTGCTAACGGGGCGCCGGGCTCACGCCTGTCATCCCAGCTACTCAGGAGGCTGAGAGCTGAGGATCCTGGTTCAAAGCCAGCCCAGGCAGGGAAGTCCAGGAGACTTTTATCTCCAATGAACCACCAGAAAAACCAGAAGTAGCACTGTGGCTCAAGTGGTAGAGCGCTCGCCTTGAGCAAAAGAGCTCAAGGACAGCGCCCAAGCTGAGTTCAAGCCCCACAACCAAACAAAACACAAAGAAGTGGGTGCCCAGGCCAGACCCAGGACGAGATCTACACATCGTGGAGAACGTTCTAGCTTGAAGCTGTGCATGCGTGTGTGCATATGTGTGTGTGTGTGTGTGTGTGTGTGTGTGTGTGTGTGAGTCCTGGTGCTTGAACTCTGGGCCTCTTGCTCTCAGTTGGCTTGTTTTGCTCAAGGCTAGTGCTCTACCATTTGAAACACACCCCTACTAAAGGCTTTTTGCTTAACTGGAGGTAAGAGTCTCTCACATATATCTGCCCAGGCTAGCTTCAAACTGTGATCCTTAGATCTCAGCCTCCTGAGTAGCTAGGATTCTGCATCAGCCACCAGCGCCCACTTCAGACCTGGGTTTTGAACGGATACCAATGCTGGAGCAAACTGCTCCCTCCCTGCCCTCCTGCCCCGCCCCCCCTCCCCGGGACTGGTGGCTGTGCTTTTCCCAGGGTGCACCTGGCTGGTCAGGCTTGCCCCCCCCCCAGCACAGGAGCAGCAGCTCCCTCCCTCCCAGCCCCGCCCGCCGGGAGTTGCTGGGGTAACTAATGACATAATGGAAGGGAAAGCCCTGGGAGAAGGTTTCAGAGAGACACAAAGCGCAGGCATCCTTGTTAATAATAGATGCGGGGTGCATTCCTGCCAGTGCCAACGCAGCACTTATGGGGCACGTACCCAGGAGATGCATAGCTCTTTCCTTTGTTGCCACTGAGGGTTGGGATGGGGCTGGGGGTGGCCCCCCCGGTGTGTGTGTTGGGGGGAATCCTGGCCCTCATGGGCAGCTCTGAACCCGTCTGGCTGGCACCCATCTGCGCCTCTGAATGACACCTCTCACCCCAATGCCACAGGACACAGGTCCCAGACCAGAGTCCACTACCACCTTCCTCTCCCTTGGCTTATACCTGCCATCCTAGCCGGGGAGGAGGTTGAGGTCAGGAGGATTGTCCTTTGAGGCTGGTTGGGGGGAAAAGAAGTTTTCAAGGCTCCATCTCAACCAGTAACAAGCTGGGTGTGAGGCAGGTACCCATGGCTCACGCCTGTCATCCTAGTTACTCAGGAGGCTGAGATCCGAGGATTGTGGTTCAAAGCATGGACAGAAGAGTCCGTGAGACTCTTATCTCTCACTAGCTAGCAAACAGCTGAAAGTCAAGTGGTAGAGCTCCGATTTTGAGCCAAAAAGCCAAAAGAGAGCTTGAGGCCCTGAGTTTAAGCCCCAGTACCTGCAAAAACAAAAAAGAAGAAAAAGCTAGGCATGAGAGCACACCTGTGATCCTAATGATGCTAGAAGAAAAAAGAGGAAATCAGTCCAAGCCAGCCCAGGCATAAACACGACACCCTGTGCAGAAGATACGTAGATAAATACATATATACATGCATGCATGCATGCATGCATACATACGTACATACATACATACATACATAATACATAAGCACAGGAATGGAGGGACAAAGGGTGAACAAATGCAGCAGTGGTGCTCACTGGACACTATGTGGAAAAAGAACAACTTGTGGGGGAAAGGAGGGGAAAGTGGGGAGTGAGGGAGGGGTAACATTGTCCAATGAGAAGTATGCTCTCTGACTTACGTAACTGTAGCCCCTCTATCTAGCACCTTTATCATAGCAATAAAAAGAGGTACAGCTGGGCGCCGATGGCTCACGCCTGTCATCCTAGCTACCTAGGAGGCTGAGATCTGAGAGGTTCAAAGCCAGCCCGGGCAGGAAAGTCCATGAGGCTCATCTCCAATTAACCACCAGAATTAACTGGAAGTGGCGCTGTGGCTCAAGTGGTAGAGCGCTCGCCTTGAGCTGAAGAGCTCAGGGACAGCACCCAGGCCCAGGGTTCAAGCCCCAAGATGGGGGGGGGGCCGAGGGGTAACATAGGTAGGTAGGTAGATAGATAGCAAAAAGAGCTTGGCTCAAGAGGTAGAGCAAGTACAAGGAAGGCCCTGGGTTCAAATCTCAGTACTACCAAAAATAAAATGTTTCACAAATGACTTAAAACCTCTATTTTTCTTCCATATCAACAGAAATTCTATTGCTTGTAAGTTTGGCATTGTCTCCTGGTGAATAGTTAATTATTCAAGGAAAATGAATAGAACAGTTGCTGCTAATTTATTGCAAGCTACCAGAGAGACAGTACTGACATAATCTTAAGCAGAAGCTGGGGTCCCGGGGCGCAGCATGGACGAGGCAGGGCCTCCCCATCCAGAGACTAACCAGGAAACCAACAGCCCTGCCATGCATCCGACATGAAGCTGGCGGTGAGAGGCCGCTTTCTTCCAGCCTGAGATTCACAAGACGCCTTGCACCACGCACTTCAGGACGCGCTTCAGCACATTAGGCATCCTAAGGGGAAACACTTTATAGAAGGGGTGTGGGGTTCTAGAATGGTCTGTGCTCACTCTGTGAAGACTCAGCATGGAGAATTCCAGGCCACAAGAGAACTGGGGAAACAAAGCCCAGCACTGGCTTTTTATCTCCCTCCCTCCCTCCCTCCCTCCCTCCCTCCCTTCTTTCCTTCCCCGCCCCGCCTCATGTTTTTTTTTTTGTTGTTGGTTCTGAGGCTTGAACCCAGGCCCTGGTGCGCTCTCTTAGCTTCTACTCAAGGCTGGTGCTCTTACCATTTGAGGCACATCTCCACTTCTAGCCTTTAGGTAGTTTGCTGGAGATAAGACCTAGGCTGGCTTTGAACCGTGACCCTCATTAGTTGAGACTCTGCCATGTGCTCCAGGTCTCCTCCTTGCGCTGTGAGCTGGGGTGAATCCCGAGCCGCTGTCTCCGTCACTGTGGGGATGAGGGCTGGGAACGCGCTGTGGGCTTCCACAGAGGCTCCGGGGCCCCAGGATTTTGTGCCACAGCGGCCGGACATCACCAGGTGGCTTCTACAGGCTTGTCAGCCAGACCTCTGCTCAAGCGCTCCATCTGTTAAGTCCATCTGTCTCTCCAGCCCACTCTACACTGACCACAGCAGCCCGCTGGGCAGAGGCAGGTGAAATGTAGCCAGCCTGAACCCCCTTTCCAAGGAGGGCCTCTGCCTCACAGCTGGGGGCCCCAGGCCCCCCAGCCAGTGCAGACACAGCCGGGGTTCCCAGGCTATCCTAGGAAGGAGTCCTGCACAGCAGCAGATCCACACAGCCGGGGCTCCCAGGCTATCCCAGGAGGGAGAGCCGTGCACAGCAGCAGATCCACACAGCAGGGTTCCCAGGCTATCCCAGAAGGGAGAGCCCTGCACAGCAGCAGATCCACACAGCAGGGTTCCCAGGCTATCCCAGGGGGGAGAGCCGAGCCCTGCACAGCAGCAGATCCACACAGCCGGGGCTCCCAGGCTATCCCAGGAGGGAGAGCCGTGCACAGCAGCAGATCCACACAGCAGGGTTCCCAGGCTATCCCAGGAGGGAGAGCCCTGCACAGCAGCAGATCCACACAGCCGGGGCTCCCAGGCTATCCCAGGAGGGAGAGCCCTGCACAGCAGCAGATCCACACAGCCGGGGTTCCCAGGCTATCCCAGGAGGGAGAGCCCTGCACAGCAGCAGATCCACACAGCCGGGGCTCCCAGGCTATCCCAGGAGGGAGAGCCCTGCACAGCAGCAGATCCACACAGCCGGGGCTCCCAGGCTATCCCAGGAGGGAGAGCCCTGCACAGCAGCAGATCCACACAGCCGGGGCTCCCAGGCTATCCCAGGAGGGAGAGCCCTGCACAGCAGCAGATCCACACAGCCGGGGTTCCCAGGCTATCCCAGGGGGGAGAGCCCTGCACAGCAGCAGATCCACACAGCCGGGGTTCCCAGGCTATCCCAGGAGGGAGAGCCCTGCACAGCAGCAGATCCACACAGCCGGGGCTCCCAGGCTATCCCAGGAGGGAGAGCCCTGCACAGCAGCAGATCCACACAGCCGGGGCTCCCAGGCTATCCCAGGAGGGAGAGCCCTGCACAGCAGCAGATCCACACAGCCGGGGCTCCCAGGCTATCCCAGGAGGGAGAGCCCTGCACAGCAGCAGATCCACACAGCCGGGGTTCCCAGGCTATCCCAGGGGGGAGAGCCCTGCACAGCAGCAGATCCACACAGCCGGGGTTCCCAGGCTATCCCAGGAGGGAGCCCTGCACAGCAGCAGATCCACACAGCCGGGGCTCCCAGGCTATCCCAGGAGGGAGAGCCCTGCACAGCAGCAGATCCACACAGCCGGGGCTCCCAGGCTATCCCAGGAGGGAGCCCTGCACAGCAGCAGATCCACACAGCCGGGGTTCCCAGGCTATCCCAGGAGGGAGCCCTGCACAGCAGCGGATCCACACAGCCGGGGCTCCCAGGCTATCCCAGGAGGGAGCCCTGCACAGCAGCAGATCCACACAGCCGGGGTTCCCAGGCTACCCCAGGAGGGAGCCCTGCACAGCAGCAGATCCACACAGCAGGGCTCCCAGGCTACCCCAGGAGGGAGCCCTGCACAGCAGCAGATCCACACAGCAGGGCTCCCAGGCTATCCCAGGGGGGGAGAGCCCTGCACAGCAGCAGATCCACACAGCAGGGTTCCCAGGCTATCCCAGGAGGGAGAGCCCTGCACAGCAGCAGATCCACACAGCCGGGGTTCCCAGGCTATCCCAGGAGGGAGAGCCGTGCACAGCAGCAGATCCACACAGCCGGGGTTCCCAGGCTATCCCAGGAGGGAGCCCTGCACAGCAGCGGATCCACACAGCCGGGGCTCCCAGGCTATCCCAGGAGGGAGCCCTGCACAGCAGCAGATCCACACAGCCGGGGTTCCCAGGCTATCCCAGGAGGGAGCCCTGCACAGCAGCAGATCCACACAGCCGGGGCTCCCAGGCTATCCCAGGAGGGAGCCCTGCACAGCAGCGGATCCACACAGCAGGGTTCCCAGGCTATCCCAGGAGGGAGCCCTGCACAGCAGCAGATCCACACAGCCGGGGCTCCCAGGCTATCCCAGGAGGGAGCCCTGCACAGCAGCAGATCCACACAGCCGGGGTTCCCAGGCTATCCCAGGAGGGAGAGCCCTGCACAGCAGCAGATCCACACAGCCGGGGCTCCCAGGCTATCCCAGGAGGGAGCCCTGCACAGCAGCAGATCCACACAGCCGGGGCTCCCAGGCTATCCCAGGTGGGAGCCCTGCACAGCAGCAGATCCACACAGCCGGGGCTCCCAGGCTATCCCAGGTGGGAGCCCTGCACAGCAGCAGATCCACGGGACCCACTTTCCCGACACCGGGTCCATTCCCGCAGTCTCTATGGACTGTATTTTGGCAGAAGAGCTCGTAGGCACAGCCAAGGCTCTCGTCTCCTCCTCCCCAGCTACCCCAAAACACCCTGTGAGGCTGTTCTTCTGGGTTGTAGATCTCCCCCAAACTATCAGTGGCTCCCCAATGCCAGGATACCGGCTTCACGAGGCTGTCCATCCTAACAAGGAACTGCCAACTATAATATATACACATACATTAACATACATAACGCTCTCATATCATCTTCTGTTATCTATGTGCATGCTTGGGATGGTCCTGGGGCTTGAGCTCAGCACTGCCTTCACTCACAACTTGGCGCTCTACCACTCGAGCCACGCCTCCACTTCTGGTTCTTTGCTTACGAATTGGAGATACACAGTCTCACAGGTTTTCTTGCCCGGGATGGCGTCAAAGTGCAATCCTCAGATCTCAGCCTCCTGAGTGGCTGGGATGACATGCGTGAGCCGCCTGCGTCCGGCTGTGGCGTGTACTCTAAGGATAAGGAGCCTCTGAGGGCAAAGGAAAGCCAGAGCATTCTGAGAGCCAGATTTTAATAACTTACAGTAACGTCCACCTGGTCTCAACCCCAACTCCCAACCCACCCTGTGCAGACACAGTCCTATAAACGGACAAAACTCTAAAATCAAACGGAAATTAAATGCCATTGAAGCCAACTAAGCACGTTACCCAAGGTCAGGTTTCAGTGACACCAGCTTCGTCGCATTCACGATGGCTTTCTGAAGCTGGAGCATTTGAGGAAACTGAGGAAACATCTGCATTCTGCAGACAGGCTTGATTAACCCTCAGTGTGCTAACCCTGCGGTCACCTTTGGAAAGTGCCCTTCCATCGCCCCATGGCCGGCCCGGGCTGGTGGGGCTCCCGGGGGGGGGGGGGCTCCAGGGTTCGTCCAGGGTCGGGGGCCATGAAGCGCAGGGGGGAGGCAGGGACAGGGCGTGTCTCCGCCCGCTCCTGCTCCTCCTCTGGCATCAGCACCGGAAGGAAGTTCTGAGCGCTGTAAAGCTGTGGTTAAGGCTTGATGATAGATTTTTATTACAGATTTAGAAATTTTCAAAAAAATAATTGTTTGGAACCACAAACAAGTAAAAAGAAGTATATAGTGTCACACAAAGCATCCGGCTGCCCTCAGGATTCCCCTCCAACCAGGAAGCTCTTAGGCATTCTGCTGAATGCTTGGGACAGTTTCCTTCTAGAGATGGGACCATGATTCCTGATTATTATTCTTTTTCTTCTTTCACTTTTTCTTTAAGAGTTCAGTCATTTCAGGAACGACCTGCAACACAAAAAAGCCCAAAGACAACTGAGCAATTCCAGAAATTAAACAGCCCAACTCTGACAGTGCTAGGGTCTGCCCAGCCCAGCCTGGTCCCCAGCCCGGAGGGCGGGGGGGTGGGGGAGGCTTAGCTCCCTGGATCTCTTCACTAAGGGGCACAACACAGGCCTGGGAGCCTCGCACCTCCCCCTCCCTCCCTCCCCACATTTCCTGCATATGGTTGGGCGCACAAGCACGAGCATGCTCTGTATCAAAACCCAGGCCTTGGGTATGGCGGTGGACAGAAGACACCTGACCAGGGTTCACCTGTTCCGGGAAGGCTTGGCTCCCAGCCCTGGTCTGGGCAGTGATGTGGCTCACCGGGACTGCAGGGGGACGCGACGGTACACAGCCCTGCGGAGCAGCCACCGGCTGCCCGTGCGGTATCCGTGTCCCTGTCCTGTGGGGGCCGCTGGCCGCCCTGGTGCCCAGAGAGCCCCGCGGATGAGGCAGCCTCTCAATTATTTAAGAGAGCTGCATTGCCATCGGGTGGAAATAATGTGTTCGTACAAAATTTATTAAGGAAATTGTCGACATGTTGTTTCTCCCGAATGTCACTTTGTCTCCAGTCTATTAAAAGGCCTGTGTTTACCACGGAGCCCACGGGCATTTGCTGAGGGCGGCCTGGAGCGTGGAGCGCCGGCCCGCTGCCCCGGCGGCCAGCCTGGAGGAGCCATGAGCTCATGCGGGCCACGTGGCCACGCGCCGAGCCCCGCAGGAGCTGCGTGTCACGAAAAGCGAGCTAGAGCCAGCTGCTTTCCCCGGGAGGTGAAACTGGGATCTGGTTTAGCATATGCAACATAAGAAGACTACATAATTACCAAAACCAACTCCAGGACGGGGAGACACCGCTTTGGTTTTCGGTGGTGTCGCCGTTTCGTTTTGTTCTTTTGCTTTTTCTTGGAGGGGGGGTTAGCAAAGGCGGGCACGGGAGGGGGAGAAGGAAGGGAACGGGAGCATTCGTGGTGCCAACAATGAACGCGAAACTTACAGCAGGGGCGGAGGGAAAATGGAGAAAATGGAAGGAAGGGGCGGCACTGTCCAAGAAGAACTGAACCACAACCTCCTTATGCTCCGTACAACCCCATCATCATCACCCAAATAATAATAATGCTGTGTACAGAACGCCCCCACCCAGCTTCCGCAGCTGGCAGGGGCCTTTCCTCCTCGGGTTCATGAGACCCTCACACGACCCCATCTGGGGAAAAGAAAAATGCAAACTTGGGTTCCCCGAGTGTCCACCGGCCTGGGCATACTGGCAGCTACAAGCTCTGGTGTTTTGGTATGTGTGTGTGTGTGCGCATGTGCACTGGCACTAGGGCTTGAGCTTAGAGCCTGGCTGCTGCCCTTGAGTCTTTTTGGCCCAAGGCAGGAGCTCTACCACTTGGGCCACAGCTTTACATCTAGCTTTTTGGTGATTAGAGGTAAGAGTCTCTGGGACATTGCTGCTCAGGCTGGCTTTGAACCTTGATCCTCGGATCTCAGGCTCCTGAGTAGTTGGCTGGGATTACAAGCAGGAGCACCAGCCCCTAGCCCCGTTCTCTTTTCCAATCTCAGGGCAGCAGCCTGTGCTGTAAGATCGCGGCAGAGGAAGACCATCTGCCGACAGAGCTATGAGGACCTCCCAGGTGCATGGCGGCCTCCTCAGGGGCAGGCCTGACTCCCGCCACGAGGACTTCTGTGGGGGAGAGTCAGGAAGTGTGCTCGTGTTATAGGGGGTGCAGAGGGTGAGAAGAAGAACAAATGGCTGGCCGTGCTCCACGCTCAGGGGTTCTGAGGGAGAAAAGATCAGCGGATCAGAGCAGCCACTTAGAGAACACAGATTCTGGTGGAGGAAAATCATCAGGCTGGGAGAGTTCCAGAGACAGCGAGAGGCTGGAATGGTTCTAGTAACGAGGAGGGTAGGGAGCAGGAAAGGAAGGCTGGAGAAAACCACAGCAGTGGGGTTCATTGGAGATCAGAGTCTCACGGACTTTCCTGCCCGGGCTGGCTTTGAACTGCGATCCTCAGATCTCAGCCTCCTGAGTAGCTAGGATGACAGGCGTGAGCCACCAGCACCCGGCTCCACCACAGTTTTAAGAGCTGCTGCCGGACCAGCCCGCTGTAAGAGGTGTAGATGACAGCAGCCAGCAAGCCTCGCTTACCTTAAACAGATCTGCGACTATGCCATAATCTGCCACTTGGAAAATTGGAGCTTCTGGGTCTTTGTTAATAGCCACAATTGTCTGTGAAGCAGAAAGAAAGAGGTGGGCTTTTGTCAAGAAAACACAGCACAGAGGCTGGCTCTGTGTCAACTCCCCTCTCAGGACCCATCAATAGTCTGCAAATGTCTATCAAGGAGTGTCAGTGGTATACTTTTGTCCGCAATAAAGTGTCTGCCACTCCCCACTAGGCCCTCTGAGAATTCAAAACCATGAGGCTGGGTATTGTGGCTCAAGCCTGTAATCCTGGACCTTGGGAGGTGGCAACTGGGGACAGTACTTGGAGACGTTGTGAGACTCCATCTCCACTAATGGCTGAGTGCAGTGGTTCAGGCCCATCAGCCCAGCACCTCAGGGATAGGGGCTCGTGCTTTGGCCTGGGGCCAGCCCCGGGCACTTCCCATCTAGCTGGGGGCCCAGGCATGCACCACCACACCTAGCCTGTTGGCTGAAATGGATCTTGCTAACCTTTTGTGTGCGGTTGCCTCAAATTGACATCCTCTCAAACCTCTGCCTCCCATGTGGCAGGGGTTACAGGCATAAACAACCTTACTCAGCAGTTGAAGAAAATGTTAAGCAAGGTGCTAAGGCTCATACCTGTAATCCTTAGCTACTCAGGAGGCTGAGAACTAAAGACAGGTTCAGCCCAGGCAGAAAGTCCATGCCCCCCGCCCCCCCCACACTCTCACACACACTCTCTCTCTCTAATATGTACAAAAAATCCATGCAGAAAATTCAAGCAGGAAACTATCTCTTACAAAAAATACCAAGCATTTCCATTACCTACTATAAAAATATTCTTAAATGTGAAAGGTTATGACAAATTATAAGCAGAATATGGGAGAAGGTTGGTATTCCTCAAAAATACCTGCAGTATCATCAACAGTAAGATAAAATTACAATGCTCACCCCAGTGTGGTATGGTTGTCATAAATGGCACATTATAACAAGTCAGCTCTCTGGAGGTGGTTAGGTCTCTACCTGTTGGCATACCTTAGGAAAACTACAGGTATTAATATACTACGTGTTTCCATACAGTCAGGCTTAAAGCACTAGGATTCATATGTGCAGGTCCTTGAAAGAGCGCCTCACAGGGCTGAGGAGAACATGCTAGAATGTCTGAGATCAGAAACAATGTTTCAAATGAGTGTGGACCCCAGGCCCCAGGGGTAAGCACTGTACACCGAGCAATTTCCCAGGAAGTACTCTTCTGGGGACCAGTAGCCAGCTTCACAGCACCAAGCAGAGATTTATTTAATTAATGACAGCTAATGATTCTCCCGAGCCACCTGGGGAGACAGCGGACAATTTAATCACCTGAAAGCTTCTCTGTCTTCTTATAAAGAGTTATTTTAGAACCAGGCACCCTAACTGTGAGTAAGGAACAAACAGGGTATTATAAAATTAAAAAAAAAAGAAAGGCCCAGGCGCCAGTGGCTCACGCCTGTCATCCTAGCTACTCAGGAGGCTGAGATCTGAGGATTACGGGTCAAAGTCAGCCACCAGAAAACCAGAAGTGGCGCTGTAGCTCAAGTGGTAGAGCGCTAGCTTTGAGCTGAAGAGCTGAGGGACAGCGCCCAGGCCGAGTTCAAGCCCTAGGACCGACAAAAAAAAAAAAAGAAAAAGATGTGGTTGGGTCCGGGTGGCTCACGCCTGTAATCCTAGTTACTCAGGAGGCTGAGATCTGAGGAAAAGTTCAAAGCCAGCCCAGGCAGGAAAGTCTGTGAGACTCTTATCTCCAATAAACCATGAGAAAACCAGAAGTGGTGCTGTGGCTAGTGGTAGAGCACTAGCCTTGAGCTGAAGAGCTGAGGGACAGTGTTCAGGCCTAGAGTTCAAGCCCCACGACCAAAAAAAAAAAAAAAAAGATAGATGTGGGCTGGTTATAGTTTTCGAGATTATAGCATTCCTAAAAAAAAGAAAATCATAAAAGCCAGTGCACCAGTGGCTCACACCTATAATCCTAGCTTCTCAGGAGGCTGAGATCTGAGGATCATGGTTCAAACAAACTCAGCCAGAACAAGAAAAATCTGTGACTTTCATCTCCAATTAAGCATCAAAAAGCCAGAAGTGGAAGTGTGGCTCAAGTAGTAGAGCACTAGCCTTGAGCAAAAACAACTAAACAAGATCATGAGGCCCAGCTGGGCGCTGGTGGCTCACGCCTGTAATCCTAGCTACTCAGGAGGCTGAGATCTGAGGATCGTGGTTCAAAGCCAGCCCGGGCAGGAGAGACCGTGAGACTCCTATCTCCAATAAACCACCAGAAAACCAGAAGTGGCGCTGTAGCTCAAGTGGTAGAGCGCTCGCCTTGAGCTGAAGAGCTGAGGGACAGCGCCCAGGCCCAGAGTTCAGGCCCCACGACCGACAAAAAAAAAAAAAGATCATGAGGCCCTGAGTTCAAGCCCTAGTACAGTCACACAAAAAAAACGTATGAGCTGGGCATCGGTGGCTCATGCCTGTAATATTAGCTATTCAAGGGGCTGAGATCTGAGGTTCAAGGCCAGCCCGGGCAGGAAAGGCCATGAGATTCATCTCCAATAAACTACTCAGAAAAAAACTGAAAGTAGCTCAAAGTGTTAGAGTGCTAGCCTTGAGCAAAAGAGCTCAAGGACAGTGCCTGGACCCCAAGCCCCAACACTAACAAACAAACACAATTGTTTGTACTCAAGAGCTCCTCATAAATTCAAGCTCTTGGGGCTGGGAAGGTGGCTCAGTGGTAGAGCGCTTGCCTTGCATGCATGAAGCCCTGGGTTCCATTCCTCAGCACCACATAAGCAGAAAAAGCCGGAAGTGGTGCTGTGGCTCAAGTGGTAGAGCGCTAGCCTTGAGCTGAAGAGCTGAGGGACAGCGCCCAGGCCCAGAGCTCAGGCCACACGACCGACAAAAAAATAAAATAAATTCAAGCTCTTCTTCCTAAAGCGTTTTAAAATGGTTATATGATTATGCACAGTTCATCCTAGCCACTCAGCTGATCAGACCTCGCACCTGTCCTAGAGAGCATGATGGTCAGTGGTGCGCAGGGGCCGGGACGCAGAGATGAGAGTCACTGCGGGACCCCAGGTCAGCACCCAAGAGCACACTGAATAAGTATGGATCTGTGGCCTGGGTGGAGGCCACCTGGCTGACACTGTCCTCGCAACCCCCAGCCCCGCCCCCACCCCCATTCACCACCCTCATTCAGTCCACCATCTCCACCTCATTGCGCATGAGTGCTGCGCATGAGCTTTTTCACTCAAGGTGAGTGCTCTACCACTTGACCACAGCTCCACTTCAGGTTTTCTCATGGTTCACTGGAGATAAGAGTCTTAAGGACTTTCCTGCCTGGGCTGGCTTTGAACTGCGATCCTCAGATCTCAGCCTCCTGAGTAGCTAGGATGACAGGCGTGAGCCACCAGCACCGGCTTCCAGCTCTGTTCTTTTCTTCCTCAATGCGTCCATCACCGCCGCCCCTGGCGCTGCTGACTTGACAGCTCTGTAGAGGCCCGCGCCCGACAGTGACGTCTGACTGCTTCTACCGAGGCTCGCTGCAGCCACAGGGGCAGCGTGCGCATTTCTTCGAGTTAGACATCAAGCCTGTTAAAAGTTTTATTACCTCTTACAGCACGCTTCCGTGTGAATGGACACGCACAGGGGTGTGAGAGGCAACTCTGACTTGTGAAAGGGAAGTTCATTATTCAAGCCCTGTGTTGGTGCCCTTGGATTCTGAGACACATGTTCGCGCAGGATTCCACGCGGTGCTCTGAGTGGGGGCGGAGGGCCAGCGCTCCCCACTCAGGTCCTCCTAATCACTGGCGTGTTATGACGGCCTAAGAGACCTGCACACGTTAGTGACATGTACCGGCAGATGGCTAGGGGACCAGAGGGAAGCAGAGACAGACAATTAGGGAGGGAGTACCCCCCCCCAAGGTTTTTTGGGGGTTTTTTGGTGCCAGTCCTGGGGCTTGAACTCAGGACCTGGGTGTTATCCCTCAGCCTTTACACCAACAGCTGGTGCTCTAGCACTTAAGCCACAGCTCCACTTCCAGCTTTTTGCTGGATAGAGATAAAGAGTCCCATGGACTTTCCTGCTCCGATGGCTTTGAACTGCGATCCTCTGATTCTCAGCCTCCTGAGCAGCTGGGATTACAGGTATAAGCACTGGTGCTTGGCTCACCACACTGTTAATGCCTCACCTTTCCTACTCATGGGCTGTCAGAGCTAACGGGGGCCATGGTGGGCACCATGCCCCATCTGAACCTGCAGACCAAGAGAGTGAGCTTCGAGCTCCGGACTGGCCTGCCCTGCAAGCCGGTGACGCCCCGTCCCTGCTGCCGTCTCCAGCCAGGGACCAACAGCTCTGTTTCCTCCAGCTCCCAGATCTGCACTGAAGCAAAACCTGAATCTTACAAGTGAAAACTTTCCCTTTTAGCGCCATTTGTTCCGTGAGCAATTACCTTGCTGTCTTTCATTCCAGCCAAATGTTGGATGGCTCCAGAAATCCCAACAGCAATATAAAGTTCCTGGAACAAGAGACCACATGATTAATGCGTATTTATATTCTGGAATACATTCCAAAGCGTTGGCTCTTCGCAGCTGTTCAATGAAGCAGACGCGGCGTGTGCGGCTTCCGTCACGCCTGCCTTTGTCACACAGCTCTTTCTCCAGAGAATTCCCACGGTTGTGGGATGAAATAATTCACACGTGGACAGAGAGCGGCTGGACGCTGTGTTCCAAATGTGGCTCTAAGGATTCTAGAGCAACTGCCCCAGTCTCTCGGTCCACCTCTCCATGGCCTGTGGCTCACTGCCATACAGATACCACGGCACACTGCCATACAGATCCACGGCACGCTGCCATACAGATCCACGGCACCCTGCCATACAGATACCACGGCGCCCTGGCTCACAGCCCAGCCATACCCACTCGTGGTTATGAACGCATCTAACACATCTAAACACACATACCAGCCAGGCCAAATAGTTAGGTATGTTTATTAAACTTTTTAATTACAAGAATATAAATGTGGTGTCATACACTCTGAAAATTCTTTCCTTGAAAACAGAGGGACCTGGAATAACCATGTGAAGTGAAGTATGGCAAGTTCAGAGAGACAAGCGGCGCATGCTCTCTTCTCCTAAGGGGAAGATCTAGCTAGATCTAACACAGAACTGGACATGGACACCTATCCAGCACTTTGGGTACCGCCCCACACACACACACAGAGGGAAGGAGGAGGCCCTGAGGGGAGGAACCCAAAGGTGGAACTTCTCCGAAACTCGAGGAAATAGAAAAATGGGTTTTTACTGTTATTGGTGGTGGTGGTATTTGTTTTGCTTTGGGTTTTTGTTTTTGATAGTCTTGGGGTTTGAACTCTAGCCAGGTGCGCTGTCCTTGAGCTTCTTTTACTCATGGCTAGCACTCTGCCTGCCTTATGAAATGGTAACCACTTTGTACAATACCTTAACAAGAAAATTATATTTGAAATTTTTCCCTGGGTAAAAAATAAGAAACCTAGCCAGGCGCTGGTGGCTCCCGTCTGTAATCCTAGCTACTCAGGAGGCTGAGATCTTAGGGTCACAGTTTGAAGCCAGCCCAGACAGGGAAATCCATGATATTCTTATCTCCAATAGCCACCAAAAACCCCAAAGTGGAATTGTGGCTCAAATGGTACAGTGCCAGCCTTTAGGAGAAAAAAGAAAATCGATGGGACAGTGCCCACACCCTGAGTTCAAAACCCCAAATAATAAAATTCCAAAATGCCTATGTTTGAAAACTTAAAACTCTCTGCTGTCATGAAGAAGTGATTTAATAAGATCTTAATTAAAAGAGCTTAGATGTTCCACTCTGCCTACAAGGTATAATTAAAGCTTCAGTGGAAATGGTTTCCCACACATAAAGTGAAGTGGCATGTCGTAGCCTGGCAGGAGGCGTGGCTGCGTGCACACACTGGTTCTGTCACACCAAATCTTTTGATAACAACAAGGAGAAAGCAGCACGGGGGGGGGGGGGGCTCACACCGCGGGCCACTTCAACACCAATGGCAGCTGTCAGGCGGCTCTTGCTTGCTTTCTGCCGGCTGACATGATCTAATTTACCAAATGCACAGCCAGCACAGAGCATTTCAACGAGCAAGCAGGCTGAAGATCTGAGGAGCAAAGTTCAAAGCCAGCCGGGTAGGAAAGTCCATGACACTCTGATCTCCAAAAAGCTGCAAATGAAGCTGTGGATCAAGTGACAGAAGGCTATTCTTGAGTGGAAAAGCAGAGCGAGTCCTCAGTGCTGAGATTATAAACCAACAGATGCACTTGGAGCGCAGGCCGCCGCTCTGTGATGTGGGAATGTAGCAAGGGACTCAGCCATGGGAACCGGCCACACCATGCAGCGCTGGCTCGTTTCTGATTCTGCTGGCTCTATCTAGGCTTTCTTGGCTTCTTGGGCCGTGGGAAGTCACGGTGCCTACCTGGTTGACGGTGGGTGCACCTCTCTTGCTCCTTTGCTTACTTGAACATAAGGAAGGGGGGTGTGGCTGAAGAGCGGGGCCTGAGTGTGGGGAAGGTCTCCTGTATGCATGGCTCTAGGTTCAGAGCCAACCAGGCCCATGATTCCACGGCGTGTGGCATGAGTCTGTGGGCTGTGGCATGCCCCGCTGTCCTCGCGCAGAGGCCCTGTCCCTGTGCTGTGGCCTCCCCAGGGACACGGAGAGAAAAACAAGCTTCTTTTTTATTTCAGATTCATAAGTAACTTTGGCTGATGATCTTAAAGTCATTTCCCTTTCTTCTGACTAGCACTTCATTCATAAAGGGTCATTCATTAAGATATATCAAATATATATTCAGGGGGCTGGGAAGGTGGCTCAGTTAGTAGGGAGCTTGCCTGGCATGTATAAGCCCTGGATTTGATTCCTCAGTACCACATACACAGAAAAAGCCACAAGTGGTGCTGTGGCTCAAGTGGTAGAGCACTAGCCTTGAGTGAAAGAAGCTCAGGGACAGTGCCCAGACTCTGAGTTCAAGCCCCAGGACCAGCAAAAAATTAAATATATATATATATATATATTCACTAAAGCACACAGGGTTGTTTTTGTCAGTTGTGGGGCTTGAACTCTGGGCCTGGGCGCTGTCCCTCAAGCTCTTCAGCTCAAGGCTAGCGCTCTACCACTTGAGCTACAGTGCTACTTCCGATTTTCTGGTGGTTTATCGGAGGTAAGAGTCTCACGGACTTTCCTGCCCAGGCTGGCTTTGAACTGTGATCCTGAGATCTCAGCCTCCTGAGTAGCTAGGATGACAGGCGTGAGCCACCAGTGCCTGGCCAAAGGGTTCTTATATAATGATTTTGAGAGCAAGTTATTTAGACCAAAAGAATCTAACAGAATGATTCTGAAAGCCAGTTATTTTGACAGACAGTCAGATACTGGGCCACTAACCACTCTTTCTGTCCACTCTTCTAGACACTCCCAAAGCAAGCACTGGAAAGATCGATAGTCCTATAAATGAGTCTTTCTGACACACGTGTCTACATTAAAATTCAACAAGTCTTAAAAGCTCCATTTGCATCATGAAATGCTAAGAAAAATGTTGACTCACTCTGGCGGTAAGCATAAACATCATATAAAGTCATATAAAGTCTACTTTAAACTCTGCCCTCCAAATGAATTCTGCTGATGTGAAGCATGAACCTGGTAAGCAGAAAACAGATCTAGAGCCACAGGCAGGTGCCCCAGGCCCAAGCATCAGCAGGGACCCCCCAAATGGGCAAAGAGCAGGGGCGCTTTATGTGGCAAAGTAGTTTTCTGAGAAGCATAAAAGCACTGCAAGTCGGAAGCATGAGTTGGGAATGGGTAGCTTTCTTCTTCCTTTTAAAAACCATATACAGGCAATTAGACTAATATCGGAGAATGCCTCCTCAAGGCTCAGAATGCATCTCTGCATCTCAATAATGATAATTAGTATGTACCCAACTCTCCAGATGCTGATTTGCAGAGCATTTCAGATACAACACAGCCAGGCCAACCCTGCCCCAGGCGCCTTCCCTCCAAATCAGGAAAATGACTGGGAGAGAAAATAAGGGAAGCAGTTGGAGGGAGAATAGCAATTAAGGATTCAGAGAATGAGGGATTAAAGAAAAGAGCAGACGCACAAAGAAGGGGGGGGTGCTGGAGCTGGTCTGGGTAGTTTTAGCAAGGCAGGAAATCCAGGGTGGATGGAGGGGGAGAGAGGAGGAGGGCTGGCAGCAGTGCTGCGGCCCCTCCATGTAAGCAAGAGGCAATCATGACCTGGAGAAAGAACAGCACCCACCTAAGCACTAACAAGCACTGTCAAAAGTTCTACCTTTGCAGGGTGCCGATGGCTCACGCCTGTAATCCTAGTACTCAGGAGGCTGAGATCTGAGGATCACAGTTCAAAGCCAGCCCGAGCAGGAAAGTCCATGAGACTCTTGTCTCCAATAAATCACTAGAAAACCGGAAGTGGCGCTGTGGCTCAAGCGGTAGAGCATTAGCCTTGAGCTGAAGAGCACAGGGACAGCGCCCAGGCCCAGTACCTTTGTCAGGTACTGCCCACCTGTAATCCTCGCTTCTCAGGAAGCTGAGAACTGAGGATCACAGTTCAAGCTGGCCTGGGTAGGAAAGTACAGGAGGTTCTTTTTTTTGTTGTTAGTCATGAGTGCTCTACCACTTGAGCCACAGTGCCACTTTCCAGTTCATTGGAGGCGAGTCTCACAGATGTTCCTGCCTGAGCTGTCTTCAAACCATGATCCTCAGATGTCAGCCTACTGAGCACCCAATGAGCACTCAGCCAATTTGGTTTTTTTCAAGTAACAATTCCTTCTTCCCACCACACATCCAGGATGGGGCTGTGGTCCTCAGGGGTCTCAGGACTTCTGTGTACACCCAACAACTCTGGAGAGCCACCATTCCTACACTGTTGGAGTATATTTTCATTACAGCAACCTTCCAGCAGAGGGCAGCACAGAACCTGGACGCCAGGTGAGGAGGGGTTGTCTGGGGCACAGACACACTAATTATGCCAGTGCATCACAACAGGATACATGCCCTGGGTGGTGTTGGTTAGCTGATTTTACTGTGGCTGTTCCTAACAGATACTGTTTAGATGATTACTGAGTTTATCATACAAACTCAACACATTCACTTCTTCCTGAAATTGGAATACATTTCTACCTAAGCAACTCAGGGGGCTGAGAGCCTAGAGGATTGTGGTTTGCAGACAGCCTGGGCAGAAAACTGCCAGACTCCATCTCCAATTAACCATCAAAAGGGTGGACTGGAGGTATGGCTCAAGTGGATAGAGCGCCAGCCTTAAGCAAGTGTGAGCAAACAACCAAGCCACCCAAGCCAAATGAGAACATAATGCCTTAGGTTCCACCCCAACAGTGGAAGTGGGGGAGGGAGGGAAGAAAGGAAGGAGAAAAGAAAAGAAAGGAAAGCAGAATGAAGAGATTTAGACTTTTAACAATTAGAAAAAAAAATAAACTAGAGGCCAGGGTTTAAACTCAGACCCTTGTA